TGCTTTTGGGACACAGGGGTACTATAGCTTATGGTGGCCTATCTAGAGTTAAGTGCAGATTGGAAATATTGCATAATTCTGTATTAATATCCCCTCAATTCCCTTTATCTAGATCTCTGAATTTGAAACAAAAAAATAGCAGATACTTTCTGGTATTTGAGAAGTCAAGCTCAATTTTGCAGCCAACTCATGGATACAGCATGGGGCTGTAACAAATCAGAAAGACAGACCCTTATGTAATACTAACTCGAGACATTATCCTCTTCGTTTCACTAGTATCACCACCTAGAGAGATTTACCGCACCTCCAGATCTTCTTCCAAAACACTGTTAGCCTTAGGCTAAAAATCACATTTGTTGTCTCTTCTGCTTTTGCTGCATACAACGCCACACAGCTAAGCTAGCTAATAAAGGTTAAGGTAACAACAAAATCCAACCCTGCTGTTATTTTGGAAATACCCACTACAAAAGTCATTTCCTACATTTCTTTCAAAGATACAACCTGCTTCACTTCAGGGACATAAAAAACCACAATGTCAGATGGATATGAGGAAAGACCTATAAGATGATGTCAAGAAACTTTCAGTGGTTCAAGTTGGTGCTCAATAGATGAACATGGTTCAAAAACCTTCCATCAATGGCATCATTAAACTTAACACAGATTCATTCAAGTATCCTCGAATAGGGTTCACGCAATCCCATTGCAGAAGATTTTTTAACAAAACAAAGTTTTATTGAAGGATTACTAACCAATTGTGTGGCTAGTTTGTAAAGTGACTCTAACAGCAACGGCATCAAAAATTTTACTGTATGTGCAGTATGTTCTACTGTAGCTGAGTACAGGGAAAAGCAGGCAAAGAGTCTTCTGCAGAATTTCTTTCACTTGGACTACTGCTATGCCTGGAAAAGCCAGGAAAAGTCCCTTCTTCATATGAGATATAAAAAGTACAGTTTCAAGGGTAAACATGAATTTAGAAGAAGAATATGAATATGAGTTTAGATCAGACATTACATATGTCTCAAGCAGACCATCTTTTAAAAAAAGGAAGATTTTAAAAAATTCTAGCAGGAGTATTATTTAAAAACATTGAAAAATTAAGTTTAGACTTAAGATACATAGAATCTTTCTTCACATAGAATATTTCCTACAAAGAAAAAATCTTAAAAAAAAAAAAAATTAAAAAGCCCCAAAACCTAACCCAATTCAGATATAAAAAACAACCAGGTTACCTTGGTCTTCAGTGCAGAATGTAAGAAAAAAAATTTGTTCTCAATATCAAACACATTACTTTCCTTTTCACCTGGGAAATTCAGTATAAGCAAAACCCTTCCAAAATTCTGCATAAACACTGTCCTTGCAAATCATTGTGGCTACAGGTAAAGTGCACCCATTCTAATTTGGCCAAAACAGAATTTACATTTTCATCCACTACAAAAAGAGAGACATACCCATCTATTATTTTACCACTGCAACATTGCTGGTTAGTGAGTTGTACCTCAGAGGATATAATGTGCCTTCAATTCCTTTGTTTTTCTTCTCATCTATGTAAACTGTAGTCAACCTATGGCACTTCACAAATGAATATCATTTTACAAAGGAATCAATGAGCTTGATACACTGAGAAATCCACACACTGAAAGTTAGCATCCACTACTTTATTTAAAGCTACCTTGACAAAGCACAGTAAGGTCCATATGGATTTTCATTCCATTCTGTAACGAGAATGACTACTCTTACAACAGTTTGGATGCATTAGATATCTATCAATACCTTTCTATCTTTTTATTCAATCTTTTATTCTATCACTTTAATATTGCAGAGTCAGTTGAAGTTAATGGCATTAACCAATTAAGGCAGGCAGCAAATTAATTAAGACTTCCCAGTCTTGCAAATCAAATAAAACCTTTGTGGAAGTTTAACTGCATCTCTCATCTCTCTGCCAAGTGCACTGCCCTACAGCATGTGCTTCTCCTTGCACGCCGTGGTATAGAGAGACATGCAACATGGCAGCCATGGTTCTGCAGTGACTTCTCTGGTTAGACATACTATATGATATGATGCATCACTGCCTCCACATGAGCATAAATCCACCAATCTGGACACCATGACATGCAGAACAAATGCTATATGCATACTCTTTTTGGCTGATTTATATTTATGTATATTTTAGCAAGAGAGAGTTAAACTGTTCAGAAAGACAAAGTAAACAGCAGAGTAAATTCAGAAGGTCAAAATGAGCAGAAAATTTTCATGACAAACCTTGTGAACTTGCACCATCTGATCAGTCTCCGTAATGACTGTTTTTAACAGACATATCCAATGAATTTTCAAGGAGTTCTAACTTTTGTTACCAAATGTTTACAATCTAGGATGATCTGCAATAAAGTACTTTCTCACACTTTTTTTTTTTTTTTTTCCCTGATGGGCACTGCAATGAAATACATTCTGATTGCCCTAGTAATAAGGTACATATTTGACTTTAAATTATAAAAGGCAATACTTTTTTTTGCTGTAGTACTTTTAGTAACACAAATCAGGACAGCTGGAAGTGTTATTTCTACCCTGGAGTGTCTTGTGCAACATTTTAAATTGTAAAAGGAAATAAGTAATTCTAACTTTTATGATAACACAATTCATAGTGACTTCTGGTATTATTTGTCTGGGAATTGCTGAACATTGCAGAGTAACGTAAACTTCTATGAGCATCTTGAGGAAAACATGCATTTAAAAGTTTATTTAGGCAAGGTAGAAGATTACACTGAGAAAAAGATATTAGCATATGCTAAGAAGAATAGAGCCAGCTCTCCACCATGGCTTTGTTTTTCTCAGGCTTACGTGAAAGACTAACTGTAAAATGCCTAATTCCAAATGAATGCTGTTTTAACCTTTGTATTTCTATCAAGTCCAATACACTGGAACACACGCCACATAAGAGTGAATGCAGACGTTTCTTTCATTGACATGGGTTCCATGTGGTAGGTCCTTATCAACACACCCCTAACAGCTGTTTGAAAATATCAGAAAATTCTTATGAGTATTCACCTTATTGATCCATTCTCAGACACTTCTTTACCTGAGCTTCCTGAACTAGTTATATGATCAATTTGAAAAGAAATGAGTTAGAGAAAACATTTTGGTCACAGTGCTTAAACTTATGTGGCTGGTGAGCAACTTTCCAAAGCTGAACAGATTGACCATGAAAAAGTGTACCACTACAGTGCTCAAAGTACTGGAAATACCACTGCAGCATGACACAGCACCTCTACAGGAGCATTTTCAGTTGGGTCTGTTATACCACACCATCTGCAAGGCATACTGGAGATTTCTTCTGTTACGCATTCCAACTGCTTACGAATACAGAACTTTTCAAGTTTTCATACATCAGAAACATAAGTAGCCTCCCACAACATACACTCTCTGTTCCAAAATCCCACTTCTTCCTGTGTGAAAACTGCATTTAACTTAGCCCAGAGCATAGCATATGCAGATGCCACTAGGATTCGAGTGTAGGGAGGGAGAAATTTGCTGAAATTCTTCCAGAACTTATGAATTTATCAGTGAAAGTGATGAACAGGAATTTACAACTAAAGGGTGCTGTGGGTAGCTAACTCTTATTACAGTATCAAATCTTTTTGTAAGAGCTTCTGTGTGTCGTATACAAACTTTACTTAACCTGAATCTGAACTTTTATCAGAAAGTTGCAATCTGGCAAACATATTTCAGAATAACTAAGTGCTCAATAAATAAAGACAGTTCTTCCTGAGCAACATGAGCTTGAATGACAACTTCAACTACTATTTATTAAAAAATTATAAATAAAGTTCAACAATATTTAGCCTGGAAAAAAATATATAAACTACAACTTTAATTGAGAAGGAGTATGTGTCACAAGGACTTTTACATCTTCATTCAACATTAGTTCATTTTAGTTACTGTAATATATGCTACAAATATAGGATAAGCAACTACAGGGAAATCTGACAAGCCTAAAAGAAAAATGCATATTCTTGTATTTCACACAATATTATTTCATTCTGAGTAGTCTCTGTAATGCCAGCAGTCCCATTCCAGTTTAAGTGAGAACTCTTCTCTCCCCTCCACACTTTCTGTTTGCAGGAGTTACCAAATACAGTTCACTCCCACACAGATTTAGAAATAACTGCCCCACCACTCTGATATAGTGAACAGTTTCTAAAAAAGACAAATTCCCTTCCTGTTATTACACTTAAAAAAACATTTTGTAAATAGTATCAGAAGGGAATATTCCACAGGTAGAAAGAATTCAAATGTTTTTTTGACAATACATTAGATTTCTAACAGATTCTAATACTCTTTCAGTCCCACATAAAGACAGGTATGTTAAAAAGCATAATTTGAAAAGACATCATTAAAGAAATGAAATTTACATTTATCTGCATCTCATTATACAAGTTACACAAGTTGCCCTTTCTCCATTAACTCTTCTATTCCTCAGTTAGATTTTCCAAAGAGTGTAAATAGTGTGATGACAGCACAGACAGACTGTTAGAAGTCTCTCTTCCAACTCAGCTTGCAGGAAGCAATTGAGTAAGATTTCATCTTGTAGGAACTGGTATCCAGGGCATATGAAGGAATTGCATCAATAAACTTTCTTCACACAAAAAGCACTGTCCTAGCAGTTCTGCAGAAATGGCAGGGAACTGGTGTATAATAAACTATCTCCTCTGGTGGATACATAAGCAAAGTGGACCATTGCACTGTTCAAAGAGAAATGGAAAAAGAACCTGAACCCTAAGGGTGCTTAGTATATAAGGTGCTTATACACAAGGAGTAGAGGTTAAAATACCACGACAGGCAGACATGTTAGGGAATTTATATTTGTGCTCTTTAAAAAAAATGTTATACAGATTGTAATAATTAGTTGCTTCTTAACAACTCTTACCAAAAGGAAAAAGCCCCTATTTTGAAAGAGCATTTTTTTTAATAGCTTTCAAATTTTAATTTTAATAGCTTTCACTGAGCAGAAGCCTAAAGTTGTAAATACAATAAATTTTACTCCCATGTGTTTAACAGCCACATTCCTGTCAGACATTGGATTATGAACAAGCTAACAGATTAGTTTAGGAGAATTGTTCTGTGCAGCGCATTAAACGGGGAAGAAGCAAACATCTCTGAGTGGGAGGTGGGCAAGCTCAAATTATTACCATGACAAATATGATATGCAAGACCAAGATATGAAAGAAAAGGAGATAGCAGAAAGGATGGTGCAAACCCAGTCAGCAAGAAGCTTGGAAGCAGTAACCTGTCATTACTCCGTTCTGTCTTTCTGCAGTTGAATTTCTTAATTTATTCTAGTTTGACACTTTTGCAGCTTCAGTCTTCAAGATGCAATCCAGCCTATGGCTCAGGATGAGGATCAAACATTGTTAGAGCTAAATGGTGGTTTGTCAGATTGCCAGAATGACTCCTTAAAAGACATATATTATTACAATTTTAGCAAGTCCATTAATGTCATAGTCTAAGCAAGTACAATGGGCATTACTTTTCCTGTGTCATTCTAGCTATATGCACTCCCAGGATAAATGATAAGCTACCACCGCAACTGTTTTATTTTATTTTTTTTCATCTTACAAATCTTCCTCCCACAAATGCACACAAATTATGCCAGTTCTTCATGTTTTGCAGTAATACACAGAAACCTCAACTGAGATTAGGGCCCCAGTGTGCTCCATATGAACAGCACAATACAATCCTTGCTTCAAGCAGCTCACAGGTTAGGGAGCCAAGAGGAACATCTGATAGGAGAGATAATAGAGAAAGCTGGTGAGTTACTTGCTCAAGGTCACTGAGCAGGCCAGGAACAGAGGCCCCTCTCTTTTTCTCTTCCTGACAGGCCATATGTCCTCTCACCTTTGGCTGAACTTTTATCTCTATCTCTTCTTGGTTAGTTATGAATAATTCATGAAAATGAATTATTAGCTCTAAGGTGAAGATTACTGTTCACATGTAATAGCATTAAGCAGATAAGAAAACTTATGGTATCATATTAAAAAAAACTAAAAAGCACACAAGATGAAAACCGAAACTGATACTACTGTGATTCCTTTCTCCAAACACATCTGGAATGTTGTTAACAGTGTAATTTATTTTGTCTCTTGCCCATTGCATGGTCTATGAATTTCTGCAATTCATAACATGAGACAAAAACAAATTCTGTTTTCAGCTTAACTGTCCCAAAACTATTTTGAATTTGTAGGTTTTACTGCAAACAAGTAAAAGATGTAGTGGCATAGAGAATTGTGAATTCACGCTGCTAAATAATGAGTTTAGCATTTCTTCAGCACTTCTACATACAAGACTGAATCACTCAATCACTCACCAAAATTTTTTGCTTATTTAGAATCTTTCAGGCTTCAAGTGATTTGCACTAGACTAAAAAAAGAAAAAGAAAAAAAAACTGTTGACTTGACATAAACTAGCCTAAATTACTGCACTGAGTAAAGTCCATTGACCCTGATTTCTGGAAGCAATTGATACTGCTGCTATTGACCCAAACCACATTCATAAATTGACATTTTTAGCAAAGGTTGTCTGCCGCTCAATTACCTTAAATCAGTTAGTCAAAGAGTGCTCTCTGGCTACCTTCTCTTAATTACATTATAACATCCCAGTTGTAAATAACATGCCCTAAGCCTTTAATAGGAATGCTGAACACTCTTTCAACTCCCAGTGTGAAATCTGTGCTTTTCTTAGTTGAAGGGATACAGAACACACACTGCATAGGACACTGCTATAAACTTTTAAACCCATCCATTAAAGAAGGAGACTGTGCAATAATTACTGCAGAGATAAGAAAGCTACATAAAGTATGGCAAACAAATCAGTATCAATAGGAGATTTCTTTCAGTAGTTCAAATTGCTGGCTCTCATAACAGAACTGTACTCCTTAAACTAAATAGGACAGAGGTCCCTTCAACCTAGCTATCAGCAGCCAGCTTCCAGCTCTCCTCAAAGACGGTACATATGGTCTGAATAAAGAAGGCAATATGCAACTAACCTCTGTCTAGCCCTTCGCACATAGATTACATGATCTAAGTATTGTTTGGTACATGTTGGAATATACCATATCACGTATTTTCCAGTAGCGTACTATACATAATAAAATTTGGATACAGCATAAAATTACAGACTAGTAAAGAACAAGCAGATAAACTGATACAGAAAGCACATAAGACTTCCAACTGAACCTAAAACAAGGGGGACTGTACATCAGGGACATCTCTCAGGACAGTTTTGAATGTAGGGGCTCTTTGCAATTCCCCAACCTAGCCAAGACTCATCATCAATTTTAGTACTCCAGAAGCGATGAAAGAAGAGACAAACAGGAAGTACAGATGAGGGTACCCTGCTTAGTATAGCAGATGAGACTGCACAACTATTAGGTTATTATTAATTATCGTGAGCTGGATAATAAATTCATGACTTCTTAATAGTGGGCAGGTTCCCGTGTCTAAACCCTAATTACTCTTCCCAAGTCCCAAGTGATCTTACTTGCAACAAAGCCAGTGTCAAAAAATGAAAAGAAACACAGAACCAAACAGAGCCACTAAATCACAGTCTTTATCTTTAAAGCTGAATAGTGACTTCACTGAGCAATGTGTTCTAAGGTTACTTCCATCTGCATGCAGAGATGGACACAAGGGCTTCTAGAGATCCCTTACAACTTTCCATTGTTCTACGTAAGCTGTGAAAAGCTTACCCTGCCCTCACAAGGGATCACACAAATCTTTTCTTGAATTGAAAAGAAATGGGAAGGGATTTTAAAGGCAGAAAACTTGCACCGTTTTAATCAGGTTTAAATGAAATGAATAGGAAATAGAATTAGTTTTTAAATTTTTTTTTTTTTTTTTTTTTTTTTAAACCTATCAGTAGATAAAATCCTGTTATCTCTTCTGGAATATTTCAGAAAGTGGCAGTGGCTGTTCCCATTACAAGCAAACATATCTGACCAAGATGTCAATATTAAAAGCACTGAAGAGAGGGCAATCTTACACTGGAGGGAGCAGAGAAATATGCAGTTAATTAATTCTAATACATACTGCAGTTTCAGAATTTAAAAAACTCCACGAAGAGTTAATTACATAATCTTAATCTAAAAGCCCCACACATTCTACAATTTTCACCTAATTCAAAACACTTATTTTTGCAAGTTTTCCTTGCTTCTTTTTTCACTGTCTTCTGAAATCCAATCACAGTGCAGTAAATTAGTTCAGTCATTACAAAGACAGGCTGAAGCATGGGCTAGCAATAAAATCAAGATGTAGAATCATATTAAAATGACAGAATTATTTGAGTTGTATAAAATTATATATTACTGAACTGCTACTACCAGTTTAAGCATATACAACCTCACGTGCCTCATGTTAACACATCAGGAATTAGACGATAAAGAACAGATGCTACACGTGACTTTTAATCTCTAGGCAGATAAAAGTAGGGTAAAAACCTCCCCCTAAGATGCAATTCAGTGTTATGTGCTCTACTGCAGCTTCTCCCACAACATTTTTAGCACAGCGCTACCATAGGATGTGTGACAGGATGAACAGCAGCCCTTTGCTGCAAGCTATTTTTCAGTCTTCAGTGAAGTTTAACAGAAATATCCTAAGTGAAATAGATCCTCTCCAGCCAGAGGGAGAAGAGAGATTTCAGAGTACAGGCATGAGCATGAGGAGTCAAACATTTCAGAAAATTCAGAAAATACTTTTCTTCCATGTGTTGCAAAGGGAAAGGAGAAAAACAAATAACATCAAAAGGGGAGAACAGCATCCACAAGAAGCATCATGGAAGTATGACCAAAGTCTACAGTTCCTATTGAAAGTGAGATGTCCACATTGCTTTTCTGGCAAAATGGTATTCATGCAGCTACAATGAACATGATTTCACCTTCTATTTTAGTTAATGCAAATGCCCAATAATGGGATATCTAACTTACCATTTAGGAGGGCACTAATGTTTGATTTAGGAGCCTTCAGAACAAAACATTTCCTGAAGGCATGTTAAAAAAAGCTTCCAGACTCTTTCCATTAATTTCATTTATAGGAAGCAAGAAAGCACAAGACTTTAGTTGCCTAAATATCTTCAAAATCTGCACACTGCTTTAAGTATTCAATTACTTTCTTTCCTCTGGCTTTCAATTAGTTTTTCATTCAAGCAGTGCTTATAAGAAGAAAATCACCATAGTTTTGACAGATTGCTTCATGTGAAAAGTTATGTTCTAATACCAAAGACATACATTAAATAATTTCTTACTTGTTGCATGGCACATAAGTCTCAAACAGACTTTTCTCTGGAAAAAAAACACCCAGATTTTGGATAACCAGAAATGAGAGTTTTGATTTGAATTTATTCAATGCTATAAACAAGGATTGATTCCAAGCAATGAAGTTTATCCACTTCAAAGTTCCTGTCAAAGAACTCCATAAAATAGGTAAAACACTCTGAAGTTAGCACTACTATCATTAAAACAGGCATCAATTGTTGCCATAACAAACATTTTGTGTCCAGAGTTACAAAACAGAAAAGACAAGCCTTTCACCTTGAGAGTTGGTGCCACTTCTGATCATAGCCTGAATCTTCTGTGAATATTCTTCTATAACCTGTAAGAAATACAAAGAATTCCGCTGAGGCAGGGAGAGACAGATGTTCCACTGATTAGTAGACACGTGCCTATTGCCAATCCTACTCTAAGTACTCCATTCAAAGCAAAAGAGCATTTCTAACGTTTAAAAACATTACAGCATCTTCTGACATGAATCAAACGTCCAAAAGAAATAAACAAAACAAACAACAAGTAATTTGAATCATTATGGAACCAGAATGAAAAACCATCTACAGCGAAGTACAGCGATGGGTTTTTTTTGTTGTTGCTTTCTGTTGTTTTTTCCTTTTTTTTTTTTTTTTTTTTAAATATTTCTCCAGTCTGTGTAGTAATTTACACAAATTATAAGCCAGTTATATTTTCATAAACAAAGAATTAAAGGATGTTAATGTAATTAATGCCAGCCTGGGCACGTTTATCAAAAATGCATCTTGACTAACTTGATGAGATTAAAAGTTTGTCTCAAAGATAACAGCTTGATGAAGTTAGAATTTTAAGTGAGTAAATTAAACTTGGTGCTTCCTGATATGTTGACTGAGAACCTAGAACAAAACAAAGTCAATATGTCATGTATTAATCAAATTAAAAGTTGATTAACTGACAAATCTCAGCTGAAAGTCTAAACAAAAATTCCTCAACAGGAGGAAGTTTTTAAATAGGCTCCTGCAGGCTCTAAAGGCTTTCATTTATTTATTTTTTAACAATTAGCCACCTGAAGGGAGAAAATAACTTGTGAAGATGAGGAGACTTGGAAAATTTTCAGTGGGAAGCAAGATGCAAAAAAGTCAAACACCAGTGGAACCCAAAGCAATGTCTACTTTACCAGCACTAAATGCAAACAAAGACAAACATTTTGGCACACAGGGTACAAAATTCATGATGCTTCCTGAATCTCTGCTTCCAGAGAAATGGGAGATCTGAGGTTTGAAGCTGGTTTGATGTATTTTGCTTTCTCACAGAAAATCAACTTCAATTCTTTAGCACACTTCATTTTAAATGGTTCCCATACAGGTGCATACCAATGTGTACATATAAATAGAAATGGATGTTTTCCCTGGGGATCACTAACATCACACAATGCCTTCATTTCATCAACTATATCCCTGGGAGCTAGAAAATTGCATTTCTGGTGACTCCACCTCCTCCTTGGACAGGGCATCCCAGTGTCTGACCACTCTTTGAACCGTAAGGGTTGGAAGGAACCTGTGGAGATAATTCATCCAACGCTCTGCTAAAGCAGATACCCAAGAGTAGGTCACACAGGAAAGCAGCCAGGCAGGTTTTGAATATCTCCAGAGGAGACTTTACAGCCTCTCTGGGCAGCCCAGTCCACTGCTCTGTAACACTCAAAGTAAATAATTTTTTTCCTCATATTTAGATGGAACTTCCTGCATTCCAGTTTGTGCCCACTGCCCTTGTTCTATCACTGGTAATCATCAAAATGAACCTGGCCCCATCTATTTGACACCCACTCTTTAGTTATAAGCATTGGTAAGATCCTCTCAGTCTTCTCCAGACTGAGACTCCTGTCTTCTCCAGACTCCTGTAACTCCAGGTCTCTCAGCCTTCCCTCATAAGGGCCCCTAACCTATGGTCCTCCATTGGACTTCCTCCAGCAGTTGCCTGTTTTTTGTGAACTAAGAAGACCAGAACTGGACACAGTATTCTAAATGTGGCACCACCAGGGCAGAGTAGAGGGAATGATCACATCCATTGACCTGCTGACCACAGGTCAATGGATTTTTAACGCTCCCCAGGATATCTTTGTCTTTGTTGGCCACTAGGGCACACTGTTTGCTCACGGCCAACCTGCTTCCTGTCCAGTTCACCTGTTGTCTACCATCACACCCCAAGCCTTCTCTGCGCAGATCCTCTGCAGCAGGTCAGCCCCTCATTTGCACAGATGCACAAGGTTATATCTCCCCAGATGCCTTTGGCTCTGCCCTTGCTGAATCTCATTAGGTTCCTTTCTACCCAACTATCCAAACTTTACAGGTCTCAATGAATGGTAGCACATCCTTCTGGTGTCTTTGCATATCAAATATCCACAAGGTTCAAACAAATAATGAGATTCAAATATGCCTTTAATATGAATACAGCTGTAGTCCTGATGACTAAAATTCCAGCAGCTCCTGTGGTAAATTATTCCCTAAGAGCAACTGAGAAGTAATTATTACAAAGTTATTGGGTTATCAAACTTCTAATGATGTTATAATTGTTTTCATTATATAATTGATTTGTCACAAATGCTCTTATTACAATTATTATTGACCTCCTGCCACTGCTAAAATGTAATTAAAGGTTCAGTTCTGTTTAACACACTGTCCTTATGTATTGTTGAAAAATCAGACAAGCTCCAAAATATACACAGTCTCACTTTTTGGTTCCACAATATGAGACCTAGGACAGTTATTCTGCCACCTCTTCTCTGAAATCTTACATTCCCTATATTTTGTTTTTGCTTTTAATGCCCTACTCTGTGTATTTAGTGAAGCCTTATTTACCCAACAGCATCATGTTTCTAACCAAGCACAAAACATTTTGCTGCTGTTCTGCAGTTTTGTTATGTATGCTCACTACATTCGTGCCAAACCAAAATCAGTTTCTTCTTTTCTTTGCCTGGCATTTTTCCTCTCGATGTAATAACACTGCAAATAAGTCACTCCCACGTATTTTATTTTTTTTTTAACAAGTTGTGCTTAACAATTTTTCCTATTCATTTCCCTGGAGATTTTACCAAGTCCAATAGTTCAGAATAAAAGAATAACAGGAAGAGCAAGTACACCATTGGTCCTAACTCAGCAGCCCTCCCAGCCAACTTAAGCTAGGTAGACTTAGCACTGTGTTACATTCAACAAGCTGTTACTTTCAAATGATGTTAGAGATGTGCAAGAAAACTTCTGAAAATCTAAAATATAAAATCCTGTACTTTTGATCTGTTTATTCATCAAATTTGGTACTTCCATGTAAATCTACCCAAGACCCATCTTCTCGTTATCTTTCCTCATCTCAGATTGCTTTGTAATTTAACTGATGGAAGTTGAAATGCTTACTAGCAACAGGAGGCTAATGTAGTTTAACAGCTTCAAAGAATTTCAGAAGTCAAAGACATGAACAATTCCTCTGCCTAAAATCACACTGTGTGTGCAGAGAGGACCACAGTTTTGGAGCTTCAGACAATTAGGGAACCGGGAAGAATAATAAGGATGAAAAAAATAAGGATGAAAAAAATATATATAAAAAAGAAATATTTCTGTAGTGTGATAGTTCATGTATACATTTAATAAAAATAAATGAAACAGTAAGAAATAATGCCAAAAAAATAGAAAATCAAAATTTTCTGTCAAAAAGTAACAGTAAGTAATATTTCAGAGTTTGAGGCATTGAAATCAGTGCATTACCAAACAAGGAGGGAGGGAAAAAAAAGAATTTATATAAAATAAGTATAGACTGAAGGAAGGATAAATGAATCATGTGATCTAAAACACCCAGGGAGTTTTCAAAGTTGCCTTTATATTTAAACATAACTCTTACCTGTGAAGGCATCTGGCAAACAGAATATATGTGATACTGAATAAAGACTCCAAGAAAGGAGTAACGGGACCCAACCTGCATTGCTGTTACACTGGTATATTTCAGCAGCGACTTCAGTGAAGTCAAGAGAAGAAGAACAAGTCTGGCCCATCACCCAGCAGCCATATTCATACATAATCCACTGGCTGACAGGCAACAAGATGACAAAGTTGTAAATATGCGGGTGAAATTCTAAAGGCAGATTTCAGAATTCACGTTGATCTCTAATACCTTGCACCTTATCTCACTATTTAAATTCTATCAAGGATCTCCATAAATATTAAATTCAGAACAAACCATTAGCTACATGGCAGTTTAAACCATTAGATCAGATTTGAAAACAAATGAATCAAGTGTTTCATTTATCCTGTGGACCACTGTCACTTAGGTGACAAAAATGACAGATAAAATAGAAGGAACACTCTCCTGTGAAGCAGGTATTACAATTTTAACCATAGAACTCAATGAGTTAAGATAACTGTATCATCAAAAATAGTGTCAACTGGCTTAGGAGAATGCAGGCCAGAAGATAAATAGCCTTTCCAAGTCGTACCAACCTGGAGAGAACAGAAAGCACTTTATATAGCACAAGGCTTTTGTTTAATACTTTTAAAATAGAGCTATGTGCTATGCAAAAATCAGTTACAAAATCTGGAACAAATCCATAGAATTACAGAATGGTTTGGGTTGCAATGGACCTCTCACACTCACGTATCAACTTACTTTACCACACACAATACTTGTTCAACTCAGTAAGACACCAGAAAACCACTCACACCTCCTCTTGTATTAATTCTCTACAGGCTTAGTGAGCTGAATCAATTCTTTGCAAGATCAGATGAACAGAACTGAAGCCATATAGGCAGAATTGTGGAAGGACATCACATCTTTTTGGTGCCAAAAGCTCTTAGGTCACTAGAGCGCATCTAACTTCAACAACTAAGAGTGACTAGAAATTCAATTTCATTTTTCATTCTTAGAAAAAACTGTTTTTGTCACAATAATGTAGCAGAAAGATAATAGGGCTAGGCTCCCAATGTTTAAGAGCTCTTCAATGGAAATTCACTACACAGAAGAATGTTCTAACTCTTTAGAAGTGATCTCCAGCAGGCTGATGAGGCTGGCAGAGAGGTAGAAGAGTTCACTCAGAACTAAAGAAACCCAGCAAGGATATCTTTTTCTTCCCGCTTTGGAAGCAGAATTTTAACAAAAGAACCTCCTTCTTTCCATATGCTCCCTGGTATATGAGTGTTCTGCTCAGGACTGTACAAATAAATTTAAGTACCATTTCTGAGGCATTAAATCTCTCACCAGTGCGCTCTGTTTGAAAGCACTTTAGAAACACTAGGTTGAAATAAGATGCCAAAAGGAAATTCAAACAGCAGGACTGAAGATAATCAGAACTAATGTAAAAACATCCAGGGA